GACGCTACTAGGGGCTCCTGGCCTTACTACTAGGAGCAAGGACGCTAGTTTTAATTCAAAAACAATTTGCACAGTGGACTTTTGGCGGAGTTAGCGGATGCTTGACTCTTCCACCTCCAAAGAGATTCACCATCCCTCCAAAGCGACTAAATGTGACTAAGATTTTTCTATATGTGCTGTTTCTTTCTGCTTTTGCCTCTCTACATAGTGTTCAATGTTATTGTTAAGACCTTTAGACTCTATAGATCGACCTTTTCTTTCTTCCTTTCTTTCATTCTTTAGACCTTTGAGTTAATGACGTCGTTGGAATGGTCTCGGATCGAAGTAAACCATCTCCACTGGATTCGCGAACGGACGCAGAACGACTCTCAGCCTGCATTCGCTGGATGTCTGCCACCAATTCCACGAGGCGCTCGCTTGATCCTGGACGCTTCATTTTTTCGTGTTCCACGGTGAGGGACTTGGAATACTTGGATCGGAGATGTCCAAAAACAAATCACCTGTCGAAGTTCAAAGTGTTGGCTCTGAGTAAGCCCATCTTCGTCTTGTTCGGCGCTCCGGTCAACCCTCGTGCCACGCCTTCCGCATCTCGCACGGCCCCGTTCTGCGGCCCATGCTCGGCGAGCCAGGCGTTGAGGAGCTCGGCGAGGTGCGAAAAGAGGAAACCTTTGACTCTGCAGCCTCGGAGAAAAAGAAACACATGCAAGGCTCGCTTGGTAGGCCCGTGGATGGTGGATTGGTAGCCCTTCGGAAAGCAACAAGCAGTTGGAACGGCAGAAATTCAGAAAAACGGGTGAAGACTTGGGGAATCGATGTGGACATCGACTTCAACGCCCTCACTCCGAAGAATTTGATTCGGCGTAGCCAGCATGGTCCATGGAGCATTCTTTCACGATCCCACCAAGATCTGGATGGGTGATGTTCAGTTGTTCGCGTACCACCTGGCACCGGTAAACCACACATAATATATGTTGTTTGGAACTATATAGTAATTGTGCACATTGCTTCTCCGATTCATGTAGACAGCAGTGAATAATGTTTTTTCTCGGGGCTGGCAGTGTGGCAAGTTGAACAAGTAGTCTCTAAAGAGGTTTTCTCCAAACCAAAAGAAGCAAAACCATGAAAGCCTCCACCGGTCCGATGACCTGCTACCCGAACTCATGGCCGAGTTCATCTTCATCCAAATGCATATTCTTGTTTCTAATAGCTTCTTGTTTCTAGTAGTAAGGCCAGGAGCCCCTAGTAGCGTCCTTGCTCCTAGTAGCGATGCCAGGAGCCCCGAACGTAGCTTCTTGTTCCTGGGAAATCCAGGGGCTCCACAGCAAAACCCCGAGTCAAGCAGCTGCTTTTCAGCTCCAGTCCAACCTTAGCACAAAGCAGCGACGTACTTTTTGGTGTGGATGACTGAGGACAAAAGAACACCTGAACCAGTTGAGGCTTAGTCAATTATTCTCTTTTACCACAATAATTGGAGCCTAGGCATGACTGGGATGCCTTGTGGCTGAGGGAAGGACTGAGCTACTGATCGTTCAAAAGCGGGAGGCTTCAAAACAGTGATACGTCTTGGTCAATTAGTGCCTACTGATGGGCAATGATCCAGGCTGCATTGGTACAAGAGTGCCCCCATCATCATGTGAAGGTAGTACCCGGCAAATGCCACACATCATGGAGGTGATCTTATCGAACCCGGCAACATCCATGTAAATGTTCAGCAGAAAAACATGATTGCCACATATTCCCCGCATTCCAAAGCAAATTCCTCGAACCACTTTGGGTACTGAATGAATTCCTTGACCATAAACCCCCCCCTGACCGGCCGCGATACATTTGGTTATATAAAATGTGCAAGTCCAATTCTCTGAGCCTCATTTTGGAGGCCATCCTCTGGCCCCATTTCAGCCTGATCTCCCATGGTCGCTCAGTCACTCACCTCAGTTCCTGCTCGAGGCCTCCATCACATGAATGAACCCTTTCTGTTTGAGTGCACCTGGCCATACCTGGCTGACACACAGCGTGATCCCTCTGAAACACACCGCTTGATACTCCCCTCCACTCATCCAGCTCAAGGCGCCACACCGCCTCCGACCGTCCAACCCTTGATGCCATGGCACAGGCCCTGAGTTCAGCAGTCGTGCCAAGCGCCTTGAGCTCAACGCCTCTGCCTTGAGCGACAGCAAACGCCGGGCGTCCTCCTCGGCCTGAAGCGGATGCCAAAACCGTGGAGACCAATGAGGACCCATGTGATAGCACCCCATGTGTGTGTGTGTGTGTGTGGCAATGCAGGGAGGGACCGGAGGGAGGGCTTGCAATGGATTGGACGGATGGCCTGCAGAAAAGCTCTCCTGCTGATCATGCCAGGTCTTTCCTCCTCTTCTCTTACAACACATTTCTATATATATATATATATAATATATATATATGTCATATATCCTATATACGTAGAACCACTATAGCCCCTTTTGGGGCACCCAAAGGACCCCAACACCAACCACACCGACCGCACGGACCACACCGCGTCACGGAGCCCGGCAGCGACGCACGCGACGCCTCTTCACTCTTCTCCCCGGTGCCCACGCGCGCCAGGCGCTTCCCGGTCGCGAAGGGCCACCCGGAGCCCGGCAGCGCGTGGAGGAAGCGCAGTGCGCCGGTGCTGCGCAGCAGTGCCGGTGGAGGGACCAGCACCTGCAAATGGAATCGTAGGGGATTGTGCTGCTTGGCTGGTTGGTGGGGTGCCTGCGATACTATGACTAGGGCAGTTGCACGGTTTCACTCACCTCCCACGAGGCGATAGGGTTTTAAAGTCAGGTCTTGTTCCGAAAATACAAATACTCAGCGTTGCAACGCGTATACTAAATTAAAAGAACTTCACAAGAATTCCTGCTTCATGCTTCATCTTTTGTTTACCCATCAAGTTCTCTGTGATATTTCTCTTCTCGCACCCGGTTCGCTTGAGCCTCGGAGGGGCGATAGAGCTTGGTCTCGTGGAGCACGGGCACCACGGGAGCATCGTTCAGCTGTTGCGCCGCCTCCTCCAACAGACCTCGAGGCCATGAAGGGGAGGTGGGAGGCGAGTGAACGAACTATGCGACCCCACCGGCATGTTTGGAGGATGAGCCAAGGCACGTTTGGAGTTGAGGGGCAGTTAGCCCAGGAGGCTGCATGGTGGAACAGGATATGGAACCTGTTGAGTGAGGCGAGTCAGGGGGGTGAGATCACTGATGTTCACTGCTCGACATGTTCACACATCAATTTATAGTGGCCATCTTCTTGTCGTATTGTCGTATTTCATCACACGGTCACTAGCTCCAGATGAGGAAGGCAGGGCGAGAGCAGGGAGGAATGGAAGAACGGCATCAATCACACTACTTAAACATACTGAAACACTCCCCCCATTAGGGACCAGGGGTGAATTGAAAGGGACCATTGGCGGCCATAGCTGTGGAAAATTCACCACAATTCCGGCAAAAGGACACCAAACACCCAATTACTGTATACTGTAAGTACCCTTCGCTCTCGCGCTGCCCAAGGCACGTCGCCAAAAGGGTTCCAACACCCGACGCCCATCCAGCAAGCTCAGCAAGTTCCCGGGACCGCTCTCGCTGGCCCTTGGACAGGCGTAGCTGCTCGGTCGGTGTCTCTTTTGGAAGGAGTAGGGACCAACTGTTGCATACATGACATATCATAACATACATGCAGGACAGGTAAGGGAGACATAGATTGGAATGAGTGGGACCAACCCTCTGAGCAAAAAAAACATGAAACAAACAGTAGCAGCTAGGATGACTTGAACCAATTTGGAACGCGCTTTAAAGACTCTGATGCTTTGGAGTACTACGAGGCGATTTGGCCATGCTTGGATCGCGTCACCAGCCAGGGGGAGCCAAGCTGCTCGGCATTCCCCAGAGCTTCGATGGCTGCAGCCAAAGCTTTGGCGGCCAAAGAGCGGAGCCAAACCTGGACCGTCCGGTGATTTGGTCCAAACATGAGTGGAGCCCCTAGTAGCGTCCGATCGCTCCGTTCGTAGCGATGGACTCTTTTTGCTAGTAGCGGTCTTGTTCCTAGTAGTAAGGCCAGGAGCCCCTAGTAGCTTCTTGTTCCTAGTAAGGCCAGGAGCCCCGTTCGTAGCGTGCTTGCTCCTAGTTCGTGGAGTTTCTTTTGAGACACCGCACTCACCTAGTCTTTTGGAAAGATGCAGGAATTCTGGTTCTCTCCAAACACCCACAACAGAGATTGCGAAAATTGCGAAGAGTGACAAAGATACCTTCCGCCTTGAGAATGTCATCAGGGACCCTATAAGTGCTGGAGTCTGGGAATCTCTGCTGTCTAAAGTCTCGGGTCCCTAGTCGAGGTTTCAACATGTTTAGATGCTTAAACTTAAACACAAGACTTGATGATCGCTTCAACAAATCTCTGGCGTCTCTCCAGTTCTGCCTTCCCAGTCCTGGTTCTGTGCTTCTGCAGTTCTGCCCAGCCACGTTCCACGGATCCTCCAAATGGAAGTCCTCTCGGTTGGACGTGAGCGCCCACGGTGCGTGCAGCGCAAAGCGGAAGCCCACACAGCGCACCGGCAGAAAGCAGAAGACCGGGTCGGGCTCCGACTCCTTGGCACGGCGCGTGTTTCGGAAAACCAACCGGTCGTGGGGCTGCCCCTTTTTGTAGGGAATGTGAATGTGTTGCTTGGTTCTGTGGATAAGAGGTGGAAGTCAGTTTCGACATATCTACTTGTTTAACAAATTGTTTTGCTTTTGGTCGTTCGAGCTGAAACAAGCTTCCATTTCTCACTTGTTGAAAGTGGCCCTTGACTCACCACTGTCGATATTTCAAGAATGCACACCCTGGACGTCTCTTTCACTCTCCGTATCGACCAACGTCCTCCAAAACGACCCGACCTGCGGGTCCAAACACGACCCAGTCTGGGCATCCCAGGCCGACGGTGCCGTCTTTCGGAAGGCCACAACGACCTGATTGAGCCAATTGGATGCCATGCAAAGCTCTTCCATCTAACGATGGCTTCCAACCTAAAAGTGTCTTCCTCCCTCTTCAAGAGTCTTCTTCTGAATTGTGAAGCCAAAAGGAACAAAGACCACAAGGTAGTGTGAGATGCTTTGGCGGAAAAATGCTGGTGAACATTGTTTCTGTCTTTTCTCGGTGTGACATGCTTCTTCATACATTTTGGTTACGGCACGTTGAGCTCACAAATTGGATCTCTGCTCGCATCCGGCCACCCCCAAAGGGCGGTGCATGGGTCGAAGAAAACACACCGGGACCATGAGAAGTGGTTCTGTCTATATATATAGATCGAGGTAGTAGGGGATTCTGTTCATAACTTTGCAATTGACACTCACTGCAACTGCAGGCAATCCACTGACGTCAACATTGCAAAGCCGAGGTTGGGAAGCTGCATTTAGTTGAAGCCACCAGGAGGTTTGTGAGTGAAGTTTGGTGAACTTGAAGTTATTCACTTCAGAATTCGGAATGTTTTGGATGTTGTGAACATGTGGGATCCAAAGGCTCCTGCAATGAGTCCACAAAATGCTACCAATCCACAGACCGGTTATATTGATAGAAACCCGAACCGCAAGCAGCCGTGTAACGCACATGTCTTGATGAACGGTACGTGTTTTTCAGGCCCGCGGAATCGCCGCAGAATCGGCGGCCTCGGATTGGTCTGTGGGTTACCGAGCCTCTCGAGAGCGGAGCGATTCGGATGTGCCTCTTCCTGTCGGCTCCCTTCAGGTGCACCGGCAGCGAGGAGCTCTTTTGGAACGACCTGAGGCTCTGTGGGACTGTCGGATGTCATGCGAGATGACATCAGCTACATGGCACAGTTTCGGCTCTAGGAGAATGGTGTGAACACAGTCGTATGGTGGTTGGTTGGTCTGGCTTGGGAGGTACTTCTGACCTGTGGGGGACCGTTCAACCCGAACAGCAACTGCACAGGGGAAGCGGGAGTTCTCTTGCTGATCCACCCTTTTAGCTTCTGTTTTGTTGAGGGGACTGGGTGGCCTGTTGGTTTTGTCTCTGGTGATTCCGTTTTGTGTGTCTTCGCTTGCCATGTTGCTATTTTAACACGTTCCTTAGCCAAGTCTCTTGAGCTCTGGCGATGAGTACATCTCCTACTAGTATGTTGGAGGCCGTCGCTCTTAGGTTGGAGGCCATCACTAGTAGTTTGCAGGCCATCGCTCTTAGGTTGGAGGCCATCGCTAGTAGGTGGGAGGCCATCGCTATGGCTCTCAGGTTGGAGGCCATCGCTCTCAGGTTGGAGGCCATCACTCTTAGGTTGGAGGCCATCGCTAGTAGGTTGGAGGCCATGGCTCTCAGGTTGGAGGCCATCGCTAGTAGGTTGGAGGCCATGGCTCTTAGGTTGGAGGCCATCGCTGGAAGGTTTGAGGCCATCGCTAGTAGGTTGGAGGCCATCGCTAGAAGGTTGGGAGCCATCACTCTTAGGTTGGAGGCCATCGCTAGTAGGTGGGAGGCCATGGCTCTCAGGTTGGAGGCGATCGCTAGAAGGTTGGAGGCCATCGCTAGTAGGTTGGAGGCCATCGCTAGAAGGTTTGACTCTTAGGTTGGAGGCCATCGCCAGAAGGTTGGAGACCATCGCTCTTAGGTTGGAGGCCATCGCTAGAAGGTTGGAGGCCATC